AATCGATGAACGAGATTTGATGAGTAGACAAAATTGCTTCTTGAAGTCCAAATGTGTCAGCTTCCTGTGGTGGGGGGCAAAACTTGTCAGCTGCGCATGAGAACAGGCATGAATGTTGGAAAAAATCTACCTACAGTAGAAAAGGGACAATAGAGGTCCCGCCACCATACTCTTGTTAATTTTCAATCAGAATCTAGAAACCCCACGCCCCCGCCGCCATATTCTTCCTCATTTGCAATATGAATATATAAAATTTTAGAGAACTATTCACTATGGTATATTGAGTCACTGTAGTTCGTCTTGGCTCAAGCCATAGAACACACCAAAGGTGTTTTGGTAGTTCGTCAGAAACATACTTTAATTCTCAAAGATGTTGATTTACCAGAAACGATACAAAACCACGTGTACAGGGTGATCTATTATAAATGTCACCCCCTTTTAACTTTTTCATTTGACATTTTTGACAAAAGTGTCAAATGCAAAAGTTTCAAGAAATTATCGAAAGTTTTTAACTAAGTCAGTTTTAGGCATACAGGATGCGTCAAAAAAGTGCAGCAGTGTGAAGTTATATTTTTTCAAATGGAACACGCTGTATATTGTGCGCCCTTTTGTTAGTCCCTTTCAACCTGATTTCAACGATATACGGTTTGATATGTATATCTTTAATAGTTATAGCGAAAAACATGAAAATCCCTTTCAAGGTTTCTTATTGAAGAAAGAAAAATTATACCATTTAAGCTTGAGAGATTTTTTTTCTATAAACAGTTTATTGTTCAAATTTTATTCATTAATATACAAGGTGAAATATTATAATAAATCCAGATGTCTAAGTTATTATTATTTAAAAAAAAATAACATGAGAGACCTAGGAAGGGATTTTCGCGTTTTTCCCTATTACTATTGGAGATAAACCGAGAGATAAATATATCCACTCGTATATGGTTGAAATAAGGTTGAAAGGTACTATAACAAATAAGCATACAATAAATAGGGTGTTCCATTTAAAAAAATATAACTTCATACTGCTGCACTTTTTTGACGCACCCTGTATGCCTAAAAATGACTTAGTTAAAAACTTTTGACAATTTCTTAAAACTTTTGTATTTGACACTTCTACCAAAAACGTCAAATGAAAAAGTTAGCAGGGGGTGACATTTATAATGGATCACCCTGTACCATCGTGTGTGCTATCAACGTTTCACAGCTTTGCCGCCAAAATATAGAGCGTCGGTTAGCTTGCCAAGGTACCTACTTAGTTATACTTAGTTATTAACGTTATAAGGTCGGTAAATAGCAAATAACGGCCGGGCTGAAGTTTGTGTTAGCTCAAGACTGTTATTTGAAGTTACCAGCCGTGTTTTGTTCTAGATTTTCCGTCACACTGACGGATTTTAAGAATTTTTCAATCTGACAAAAAAATAACACACCCCTATAATGTTTGAAAATAACGGCGGCGTTATTTATATTTTCACGGCCGGCGGTCTTTACTCTTTGAATGTACCTTTTCAATTTCCCTCATGCTAAAGTGGGATAACAGTACAGTATGAAGTATGACGAACTAGTATTTTACATTAGCCAGTTAAAAACTGTTATTTTCATACCGTAATTTATTATATACTACTCAAAACGAAATAAGGACCACTTTTAAGAGCAGGTTTCCATTGAATTTTGAATAACCCTGGTATAGTGACTATTTCCATTTACAATAAATATAGATAAACATATAAAGTGTGCACAAAAAATTTATATTGTCAATGGAAATAAACACTTTACCAGGGTTATTCAAAATTCATTAAAAATAAATGGGTTTTCAAAGGTGGCCCTTATTTCGTTTTGACTAGTTTATAAATAATTTTCAGCTTTGCTGAAATTATCCGATTTTTTCCGACATTCATGCATGTTTTCATGCGCAGCTGACAAGTTTTGCCCCCCACCACAGGAAGCTGACACATTTCTGTTTTCATGGAATCATCATAAAAATAAAATGTCAAATTTCCAGCTTTGCTAAAAAGACCCAATTTTTTATTTTTTTTTACAAGTTTCGGGGTCTCTTACTACCCTTTCGCCACGGGGGTGAGCCAGCTGACAGTAGGGTTACTTATTTATTAAGTCAAAACTACCTTAAAGAATGAAAAAAAATTATGCTGAAATGACCAATGAAATTTTGACACCAGCCCCCTGGCTATTAAGAGGGGCGTTTAAATAAAATGTCATTTACAGACCTTCACAAATTTCTCTTCAATTCCAAATTTAGACCACTTCTCAGTGGAATGAAGTTATGTTCATAACAATAATAGATTGGAGTATGGTTCGAAGCATTTTTGGTTGTAAAATACGCATTCTAAATGGTAAAATTATTACCAATTTTGTTGACAACAATATGCAAATTTTGGTCACGGATTTAAATGAAAAAGGGGGAGTAGCACACCAACAATAAATTTCCAAAATTTCGGATAGTAAAATGCTGGAAAAAATGAATAGAACCGAATTTTCGAAAATTATATTGTTTGTATCACAAAATTAATCAAAATCTGCGAAACAACGAGGTGATTGCTGCGTCATTTTCAGCAAAGACTCAAACCAAACGTGTGTTCAGCGCTTCTCTTAAAGATGTCGCTGAGTTCGGGAAGGGTAGTCACTTCTTTTAAACACCAGTAAAAACTGTTTTACCTACCTAGCTAAAAATGTGAAATACTCTTAGAGCAAGTAAAGGTAAAGAGGAGTAGTAACATGGAGTTGGAAAATGAAGCCGTTTTTTCCAGGTATTTTGGCACCAAAAAAATGGCGGTATAGGCAATTCAATGCTTTACCTGTATTTTGGTGCCAAACACCTGCCAAAAACTTGGCTTCACTTCAGTTTCATAAGCAGAATGGCGCGTTCCTACTCCTTATGTCCTTTACCTGCTCTAAGGAATAGTATATTACAATCCGAGACGGGAAATGCTTCATTGCTGATCGAGAGGTTATATAGTTTATCGAGACGCGTAGCGTCGAGATAAACTGTACCTCGAGACAGCAATGAAGTTTCCCGCCGAGGTTTGTAGTTATACTATTTTATTTTTAACAATAATTTTTTGAAAAAGAAATAAAAAATTCGAAACAACCAAATAAATGAGGTCGGGGAATGAGGACCGGAAATATTTCCCTGCTCCATTTTGAGAAGTCAGTGTAATGACAACATTTCATATATGGTTAAAAATAAATACTACCTATTATTTATTATTTCATTTGTATCTGAATTAAATTATTTAGTCCACTGCAAATTACTATGTGTAAACTAATTGATATTGAAGATGTCGCCATCTACTTGTAAATAAGTCAATCACTTACAGACAATTTGAACAACTGTGATTAAAAAATATTTAATGTATGTCCTAAAGCCCAAAAGATGGCGCGCTGGCTCTTATCTGACGCCCCTCTTAATCCTAATTCATTATACATCTTACGTCATAACATAACAAAGGATAATAGTTATTTATGTATCAAGGGAATTATGCAGGTATTAACTCGTGATAATTCCCGTGGTACATAGATAATTTTATATCCTACTGAATTTACTGTATTCTGTCTATTTTTATAAAGGAATAAGCCATAAATCAAAATTTCTATTTTTTGTCAAAGTGTTACCTATTCAAGGTAAAAGCGGGAGTTATGGAAATCCTTAACTCCCTTGGGAGTTATGATATCCTTAACTTCCTTCCTTAACTCCCTTGGGAGTTATGAAAATCCTTAACTCCCTTGGGAGTTAAGACCCTGTTTATGATTATCGTAACCAAGGTATTATATGGTTTTAATAGTTCAGTAGGATATAAAATTTATTATCCACAACAATTGAAGATAACACATTAAAAATTGTTAACGGATGTCAACTCGCATCACTAGCACTTACAAATTAATATAAAAAATTAAATCAAAATAAGCTATAATTTTTTTTTTTTTTATACAAATAAATTAAAAACCACAACGGTTGAAACCAACATGCTTATTAAAAATAAAAATATTAAAAACAAAAAAAATACAATCCGATCCACGTTTTTAAACTATTTTCTCGCGCCAAGAAGCTATGACGTCCCACTCTGTACAGGGTGGTCCAAATTGGACACTTTCTTATATTCTTATGGAATCACCCTTTATTTTTAGAGATAGAAAAAAATGGACCCCCCACTCCGAGGTTCAAATTTCATGAAATTTTGATTGATGCAAACCGCATTTTGATATCTTCAACCGTTTAGCCGCTAGAGGGCGATTCTCGATTTTGAGCAATACTGTAAAGCCTCCATAACTTTTTTGTTTATGAAAATAATTAATGTCCGTAAAGACCTTTTGGAAGCATTTTTTCAAGCAGAATTTAGTGACGTTCTCAGTTTTTTTCTGTCTGGCTTCGATTTTGAGGTATTGACCAAAATCCGATTTTTTTCAATAGGACATCCTACATATTAATAGTTCATTAGAAAACTATGCTTTCGCTGATTTCAATGATATAAAGTTCGATAGGTTTATCTCTAACAGTTTTCGAGAAAAAAATTTATTTCGTTTCAGATGCGAAGTCCTTTTCTGACACATTGTTTCTTATGACAGAAACAGACATGATAGAGCTATCCAATCAGCTATTAATATTCTCTCGTACGTATGTTTGGTTCATAATTTAAAAAATATCACTTCTAGAGAAAAATAGACTTCGCCATTGGAACCTACGTAGAAAGATCTATAAGAGTCCATTTTCACCTTTTCGATCACTTCTGGGAGAGCCGAGATGATACAAGGGGTGTCCCAAAATGCAATATTTTCAAAAACACCTTGTATCTGAAAAACGAAAAGGGCAATGACAATTTTGTTGACGTCATCTTCCGTTTGACAGAAAAGTAGCAAACGTTCGCAAAAACCGCATCCTTAACCCTAACAGCAACTGAGATATTTCTACGACACACTGTACAATAAAAATCTACATTTATAGGATAGGAGGGTACTGTAAACTGTAATAAATAGAGCATACTCGAGGGTGTAGTATAAAATAAAACATGAATGTATTTTATATGTATAGGTACTGTATAGGCAGACATAATAGAATACATATCATTATTTTAGGCAAATTTAAACTGGCTCCGTTTAAATTGTTCCAATTCCACATTCTCCCAGTGTGATTGAGCGGGCATTGCTTGCAAAATTCTAAAATCAATATACTTGAGTTGAAACAAACTTTGTTTAGTAAATTAGTGAAAAATAATTAAGTACACGGACAGTGCCATCTTTAGGCATGGGCCAGCTGGGCCCTGGCCCAGGGCCCCCTGTCATAGGGGGGCCCCGTCGTTAATTTTCATAAAAAAGTATTCAAATAATAAATGATAATATCAATAATATCAAATGAAATAATATTCAAATAATAATTATTTGAATATGAACTAGGTGCCTATATACCTATTAAATATTATTATTTAGTTAGGCAAAGGTTGCTTATTTGTTCGTATATGTACCTAAAAATATGTGTTTCATTTTGTAATTTTTGATACGAAACAGGCTAATATCTGATTTCTAGCACTTCAACTTTAATCCCCTAGGCGGGATGGGACCAACCCTTACTATTTCAAATGGAACAAGGGGTCGAGTGATACCTCTTTTAAAAGAGCGTCCAATTCTCTTTCATTTGATGTCATTTGAAAGAAAGTTGAAAAGTCTTTTAAAACAGGTATCACTCGACCCCCTGTTCCATTTGGAATGGTAAGGTTTGTTCCCCCCCTCCTAGAGGGTTGAATTAATGTTGAAAATGTTATCAAACACTCACAGAATCAAATTTCGTGGACGAGTAATTTTTTAAAAAATAAAATTGGCATCAGATATTTAGTCTGTTTCGTTTTAAATGGTATACCCTGTATACAGGGTGTCCACTTAGTGCGATATCGGACGATATCTCCTTACAGGGTGATGCAAGAAAAAAAATTAAATTACAAAGTTGTTTGATACTCTAATATGCATTAGATAAAAATATTATATACAGGGTACTCCGTTTATGGAATATGCAACAGAACTTTCTTATTTTAAATGGAACACCTTGTATGTGATTGTATATTTGGATTCTACGTGAAATTCTGAGCAGATTTCATGTAATATACCCTAAACCTAGGTATCAAACAACTTTATAATTTTTTTTTTCTTGCATCACCCTGTAAGGAGATATCGTCCGATATCGCACTAAGTGGACACCCTGTATAAATAAATTCTGTTCCGAATAATTATTGTCGCATTTCTTGGTATTTTCAAAAATGGGGACAGGGGCCCCCAAATTTAAAAGTGCCTAGGGCCCCGAGATGGCTAGAGACGGCCCTGTACACGGATTAACAAAAAGTAGAATATGTTTAGAAAATTTGTTACTCTTAATTCAGTATTCTTATTTTTACCTTTTAACTTCCTCATAAACATTCTCTTCATGCTTAGTTAGTCCGTTCCTGAGTACGTCTAAATTGTAGGCCAAAAGTTTAGTGTTGTTCATTCCAACCAAAACTGTATCAGTGCTTTCATTTTGTAATCCATGGTAAACAGCTAGTTTGCCCAATTCCACTTGATTTTCCTAAAACGAAAGAATACATCACTAATTTATAAATTATTTGCTTTTTTAGAGTAGGTACTTATACTTATACTTTTTCTTACCGACCTTACAATGTTCACTAGCTTTTCTGCAAACTTGCTTGATCTCTTCACTGGCAGGATGCCATGTAGGTGGCCCTTGATTTGTGAGAAGACCCATAGAATTTACTGCAGCATTAATCACTCCGACATTTCTCGACTAACAATATAGTTTTTGTAACTTTAATCAAACAGTTTGAAATATGTCTCACCTTTAGAAACGACATGAAGTCGTCCAAAGTATTATCTATCATAGTGCTGCGACAATAAGACAAAATTGTTTCGATGGGCACTTGACTAAGCTCAATACACTCTTTTAAAGTGTTCACTGGGTAGCCAGTTATGCCAATGTGCTTAGCTTTTCCCGACAATACAATTTCTTGGATAGTTGGCAAAGTTTCATTTAAAACAGTGTCCAGAGTAGGAGCAAACTCAACATCATGCACCTAAGGAAAAATAATTTGTGTAGCCATCTTTATTAATTTCGATCCAAGAATAGTGCAGAAAGTTGTCATCAAATATCGCGCGAGCGTTGCAAAATCTTTTTTAGTATTTATAAAGGTCAAAAGACACAGGTTTTTAGAACGCCATAACAAAAAGGGTCTACAAAACCAGGTGACGTTTGAACATATTCAGGAAGAATCAACTTACTAAGTCTTGCTATGCTTATTACCTGTAATAGATCAACATAGCTTAATTTAAGTCTTGCTAAGGATTCATCAATGCTCATTCTGGATCTTTCCGCTGAGAAATTAAACATTTTCTCTGGTTCTTTTTCGTACCTTCCTACTTTGCTAGCCAAATAATATGCCTTTCTTGGAATATTCTCAAGGCACTGTAAAAAATATAAAATCGTTTATTCTCAATGCTTTAATAACCTTGAAAAAGTTTACTTACTAAACCTAATATTTTTTCAGACTCCCCATGTCCATACCATGGTCCAGTGTCTATGAAATTAATTCCATTTTTTATTGCTTCGTAAACGGTCTTTTTGCACTCATCAATATCATATTCTCTTTAGAATAAGGTGCATTATTTTACGATCTAAAACGAATTGTTTTGTTCTTACCCATAAAAATAAGAAAAGCCTCCTGCTCCAAGTGATAATCGACTGACATTCAGTCCAGTATTTCCCAGAGAACGATAAGGCATCTTTCGGACTTCTTCATCGTGAAAACCCTCCACAAAAGTCGCGGGTAAAGCCAATTCGCACATAATTGGAAAAATAACAAACCGAGAATGTTATTTTATTATTGAACTAAAACAACTATTATTAAAATTGGTACTCCAAATACTAATACATATTAATGTTGAGACGTTAACGTACAAATTTACTTATTAAATAGAAAGATGAGTAGGTATACACTTGAATTCAAAAAAAATAACCTAATGATTGCGCTTAGATAGATGTTACTGATTAGAGGTCTGAAATAAACATTCTTGAAAAAAAAAAGATAAAGTGGGAGTAAATACGAGAGACCAGAAAGAACAATGTTTGTTTATCAATTAAAAATTATTCCCATTAAATTTTAAATACCAATCTGTTTAAGCGTGCTATGCATGATCACATATTATTATGTATGGTTTTCCCAGCTTACAAATCTTGAAGTCCTACCAAAGGAAAGGTTATACCTATACCCAGATTATTATTATTATTTTTTTTTTTTCAATATAAGCAAAAATTTCAAAGTCCCATTTCTGATTTCATCGCCTATCCTTTTTCTATACAAGATTTATTTGGTTTATTTATGCTTAGATAATTTACCACCAGAGATAACATCGCCGTTTCAGTGATATTTCCCGTATGGAGCGTCCATCTATGTGAGGGATAACATAAGGATGCAAGAAATAGACAAATCGGGTAAAGATGAAATAGTAAATTGGATCTGTATTAAGCTGGATCTATAAACTCTGACGTCCGCGCCCGCGCTCGCGCTCACGCTCAACATAAATGAAGCAGATCACGAAGTTTGATTTATAAACACAAACGCCCGCGCCCGCGTTCGAGTTCGCGCCCGAGTCCGCGCTGGAGATCGCCAAGTTTTATCTTCGACGCTCGCGTTCGAGCGCCTGGCCAATGAAAACAGGTCATTTGACATGCATGCGCAACAACCAAATTTTTAAAATTTTGAACCTTTCTATTGTTGTTGATTTTGTGAGTCTTTTTTTCAAATTTATTTCAAATACAAATAAATCAAATAAACTATTGACTCTGACAAAATAAACAGAAAAAGAATGAATACGAAAAATATTTTGAGGTTATGTCAAATGTTATCAAAATACGCGGGCCAATCACACTGCAGCAACAAACGACAGTCAAAAAGTTTATAAATCCGTTTCCAACACGAACTCGAACTCGGGCGTGAGCGCGAGCGCGGGCGCGGGCGTCAAAGTTTATAAATCCAGCTTTACTGTGGGCGAGAACAACCTAAAAGTAAGTGCAATGTACAATCCTCCCTCAAATCCTCTAACAAATTTTTATAAATACTATGAAACTGTGCTGTGTAAACATCCAAAAAAACATATTATTTTAGGTGACTTTAATATAAATTTATTAGACACTAAGGCCAAAAGCGTATTCCAATATTTCCAATATAAAGATTTAGTAGCAATAAATAATTATTTAATAATTAATTCGATCACAAATGAAGATGCAACTCGGGTCACAAATCACTCCAAAACTATCATAGATCATGTGCTAATAGATAAAAAAGTTAATATAATGTGTGAATCAGTCAGTGTAGAGCATACTGATCTCTCAGACCATAAATTCCTGCAATGTAAAATTAAAGAAAATATAAAAATCTACAAAAAGAAAATTAAACATGAAATTAAAAAAATAGATTATAAAAACATACTTTTCGGGAAAATATTACCAACACAAATATTGACACATTTCATGACCTAATAAATTTAATAATGACCTGCAAGAAAGATACAGAATTTACTAAAAAAATTATATTCGAGAAAATAATGAGTGGGTAAACGAAGAAATAATTAAGATGATGAAGGAACGTGATAAAATATATAAAAATTAAATTTAAAGTCCAAATGATCAAAAACTAGAACACGATTTTAAAACAATAAAAAATAAAATTAATAACAAAATAAAAACTCTTAAAAACCAATATTTCAGGAATAAATGGGAGCAAACAGGGACTAATGTAAAAAAGCAATGGAATTTTGTGAATAGGTTTTTCAAAGAAAAAAAGTCTGAAACACACATTGATAAATTACGTTACTGTGAAGTTATCCATAAAATCTCAGCCATTTTTTTTTTACGGATATGCGCACTCGCAAGGACAATGTCCTATCACGCTCGAGAAGCGGCAAGTGCGCGGAAATGTCGGTGTATGTTGGTCTTGAAACGGTTCAGGTTGTAACCTGCAGGGAAAACCGTCGCAGGGAGTTTATTCCACAGCGATGCTGTTCTCCAGAGATATGAATTCTGATATAGTGAGGTTCTTGGTGCCTCTAGTTTGACAGTAAATTCATGGTTACCGTCTGTTTGACGCGATCGCCTGGTAGGTGCTACTCTCGGTGGAATCATACGTGCCAACTCTTCAGAGCATTTTCCGTGATAGTACCTGTAGAAGAGAGATAAATCGCCCACAGATCTGCGATGTTCGAGACCATCCAAGTTACGAGTAAGTGCGGGGTCATTGATCAGCTTGATAGCTCGTTTTTGCACGGTATTCAAAAGCATTAAGGTATGTTTGGATGCAGCACTCCATATATGTGAGCAGTACTCCATAGTTGGTCGAATCTGGGCTTTGTAGAGCCATAAAACTATCGAATCGCCGTTAGGCCTACTTTTTACTGTACCGGATTCTCATATATTCTAAGGGCTGTTTGTGCCATATTAGAAATAGCTATGAATGTAAGCTACTACTACTAGCGATCAACCAAAATTAATTTTGTGTAATGCTCCGCCGTCCGAGTGTCTCAAAAAAATTAAAAACCCTAAAAAGTCGTGATTTTTATCAATTTTTGATTGTAGTCTCCTCACGATTGTTTGTGCCGCTTTGAAAATAACTATACATTATAGCTACTACTCCCAGGGCCGTAGCGATATGACTATTCCTAGTGGGGGAAACTGAAATCCGGCGCCCCCTAAGCTCCGCGAAGGCAATCCAAAGGCGAAAAAAAATTAAAAGTTGATGACCATTTCCAAATTTTCCCAATTTTAAGCAAACTCTTGTTTCATTATTAGCTTTGTTTTGGTTCGAAATTTGGAACGGTTCTGGGATTTCGCAAAGCTGCTTACGCACAAAAAATAATAGATATGGCTGTTCTAATTCTAGTTCTGAACCGATTCGGAACCAAAAAAATCAAAACACGCCGCAAATCACAAAATTTAAATCTTAGACAAGGAAAGAGAGAGGAGGCGCAACATCCTTTACCTGCACCAGCAGTTGGTTGTGACCGAAAATAACATTATTTGGTGGCAAACTTTCATGGTGTCACTATACGAATTTCAGTCCAGACTAATATTTTTTGTGGTATATAGCATGGTGGGTTGTTCAGCGTCTGGCTGCAGAAGCCGCAGAGAAAAAAAAAAGTGGACGGGATTACATTTAACAGGAAAAAAACAATATGCTTTCTAGGTTATGTTATGAAAAAAGCAGACTTTTTTTGGAGACAAATTGCTTCATTTACACCTGCTGTGATACGAGTCACGAGTCCCCTCTCTTTTCTTGTCTAAGATTTGAACAGTTCCTCCTTCAGAGGAAGAACTGGGAGAACCGTTCTAGAACAATCCCAGAATTGTTCTTAAATACTTCTAGATAAACCTGGCACCCCTGTGCCAGCTGCGCCCTGGGGTGGAGGCTCCCCCGTCTCCCCCTGTTAGCTACGCCCCTGACTACTCCTAGCAATCAATAAAAATTAATTTTGTGTAATGCCCCGCCGTCTGAGTGTATCAAAAAAATTAAAATCCCTAAAAAAGTCGTGATTTTTGTCAATTTTCGATTGTAGTCTCTACACGGTTGTTTGTGCCGCTTCAAAAATAGCTACACATGTTAGCTACCACCCCTAGAAATCAAGAAAAATTAGTTTTGTGTAATGCTCCGCCGTCTGAGTGTCTCAAAAAAATTAAAAACCCTAAAAAAGTCGTGATTTTTGTCAATTTTCGATTGTAGTCTCTACACGGTTGTTTGTGCCGCTTCAAAAATAGCTACACATGTTAGCTACCACCCCTAGAAATCAATAAAAATTAGTTTTGTGTGATGCCCCGCCGTCTGAGTGTCTCAAAAAAATTAAAAACCCTAAAAAAGTCGTGATTTTTGTCAATTTTCGATTGTAGTCGCTACACGGTTGCTTGTGCCGCTTCGAAAATAGCTACACATGTTAGCTACTATCCCTGGCAATCAAGAAAAATTAGTTTTGTCTAATGCCCCGCCGTCTGAGTGTCTCAAAAAAATTAAAAACCCTATAAAAGTCGTGATTTTTGTCAATTTTCGATTGTAGTCTCTACACGGTTGTTTGTGCCGCTTCGAAAATAGCTAGAAAAATTAGATTTGTTTAATGTCCCGCCGTCTGAGTGTCTCAAAAAAATAAAAATCCTAAAAAAGTCGTGATTTTTGTTAATTTTCGATTGTAGTCTCTACACGCAGACAGCGGGGCATTGCACAAAACTAATTTTTGTTTATTGCTAGGAGTAGTAGCTAATATTCATAGTTATTTCCAATATAGCACAAACAGCCCCCAGAATTTATGAGAATCCGGCCGGTATAGTTAAAAGTAGGCCTAACCGTGAGTCGTTAGTTTTATGGCTGAGATTTTATGGATTATTCCACTCATGTGTTAGAAATCCCATAAGACAAGTGACGATTTTCAGAATTACAGCGAAAATTCTCTTTTCCATTTGTTTAACTAGAGAGAATTACAGCGATTATACAACTCACTGTACATTATTCCCATATGACACGAGAGGCTTTAAAAGTGATAAGCCTTTTGGGATTATCGCGCTTGGTGGCATTTATGGCAAATTCTATTATAGAATTTTTCTTTGGATTGTAAAGTATTAAAGTTTACTTCGTTGTATAACCTTTTGAATACCACTCGATGTTTCAGGATTACTTACCTAATACTTTTACCTGACACTCAACGCGTTACCAGCAACACCACTCCTCCTTCGGAGTCGTGGTGTTGCTGCGTAACGGATTTCGTGACAGGTAAAAGTATTATCCGGTAATCCTGAAACCTCTTGTGGTATTACATTCGATAATTCTCCCATGTTATTGTATACATGGTTGT